TCAAGAAGTTCACCTTTGGCTTAGACTGGGTGCCCAAGAAACTGGGTATGCTGGTTGGGACAAGGGCGGTGATGTAGAAAGGGCTAGAGAAAGACTTTATCAATTAGTGTTTCACAGATGTTTCTTTAAAAGGGGCAAAATGTGTATGTTTGAAAATGTCTAACCTGAAAAACACTGACTGAAACTATTTTGATAGTTCTGATTTACAACTGATTTATTGTTACAGTTTTTATAATTAATAACTGTTTTCATTGTGATAATCTTGAAACAATTCTCACAAGTTTTACAGGTCCCTGTTTAGAACTGAACACTACTGAAGTTGAGACCACAGAAGTACAAGTCATTCTGTCTGAGCCCCTTGCCTCTCCATAGCTCATGCTATAGATTTAGATAAGAATAGAGATCTCCTGACTCATAGGCTTAGGAATATGTCTGTTACACTGGGGCTTCCAAGGTTGGCACTACTAAAAGTGTTCTCAAATACGGAGCAGGAGCTTGAGGACCTAATGTGCTTTTGCAGGTGAACATCGGAGAACTGCTGACGTGAACCTTTTCCTGCTCTTCCAATTGCAGATGTGTCCATTGAGATGCCAGAGGAGCTAGACATTTCTCAGTTGAGGGGTACAGGGCTACAGCCTGGAGAGGAAGAGCTGCCTGACATTGCCCCACCCCTGGTCACTCCGGATGAGCCCAAAGGTAGCCTTGGTTTCTATGGCAACGAAGACGAAGACTCCTTCTGCTCCCCTCACTTCTCTTCTCCGACATGTTAGTGATTCTTCTTCCTGCCTGTCTCTCTCCCTTGCTGATGGGGGAGGGCTTCTCTGTGTTGCCCACCCCCTACACTGTCCTTTGTGTTTCTCTGTCCTCCCTTTCAAATTTCCTCTGCCCTCTTTTGCTGGATGTGGAGACTGACTGAATACTCCTACATTCTTAATGTGGATGTCAGAGCCCCTTGCTTGTCCATAGCTCAGTGGCATGGGCTAATTGCCTCTAAATCTTTGCTACTTCCTTGGTTTGAGCTGGGCGGGGGTATTGTGCTCCAAAAATGGGGTCCATTCTGTGAGAATTGGCAGAAGAGTGATCACCTTAGGGATACCAGGCCCACATTGTGCTGTGTGGTTATTTTAGTTCTGGTGTAAGAAAGATGCCAGTCCATAGAAGAAAAAATGCATAGGCTGGGTGGTTGGGAGAGGGCTGGGGGCATGGCATGTGGGAGGAAAAAGAATTAAGTAGCAATAGTGACAGTGTGTCACAGTGCCTCCCATTCTCCTGCCACAGCACCCATGTTGGATGAATCGGTCATCATACAGTTGGTGGAAATGGGCTTCCCTATGGATGCCTGCCGCAAAGCTGTCTACTATACAGGCAACAGTGGGGCTGAGGCTGCCATGAACTGGGTCATGTCGCACATGGATGATCCAGGTAGGGAGGGGTGGGTGGCAAGGTGGGGCAGTGCCTTCATCCTTTCCTCAAATACTCAACCCCTTTCTACCCACAGACTTTGCAAACCCCCTCATCCTGCCAGGCTCCAGTGGACCTGGCTCCACAAGTGCAGCAGCCGACCCCCCACCAGAGGACTGTGTGACCACCATTGTCTCCATGGGCTTCTCAAGGGACCAGGCCCTGAAAGCTCTACGGGCCACGGTATGGGCTACCCTAGCTAAGGACTTAGAGCCCATGGGAAAGAGTGGGGTGGGAGGAAGGTTACATTAACATCTTTGGTAAGTAGGACCAAAGACCAGTGTGCTGTGGCTGAGGCTGGCCAGTGTGATTGATGGTCACAATGCTGGCTGGTGTGCTTGCCTGACTTGTTAGGAGAAAGTAACACTTCCCTCCTCTTCAAGAACAATAGTTTAGAACGGGCCGTAGACTGGATCTTCAGTCACATCGACGACCTAGATGCAGAGGCTGCTATGGACATCTCAGAGGGACGCTCAGCTGCTGACTCCATCTCTGAGTCTGTGCCAGTGGGACCTAAAGTCCGGGATGGTCCTGGAAGTGAGTGCCCCCAGGAAACAGGGCAAGCGTGAGGCTGTTTAGCCACTCACCAAACCAGGCCCCTCATTCTAGCAGCTCTGCTTTCTTCAGGTGTGAGGGGTGGAAGCTTTGTCTCCCTAATGGGACCTGGGTGGGATTCTAGGAAGCTGAGATAGCCTTTGGCCCAGGACCCTATCCCATCTTCCCTGAAACTTGTCCTGAGTTTGAGCTGTTAGATACTGTCACTCAGGAATCTCTCCTGTTTTCCTGCTCCACCTTCTCTCTCTCTCCTTCCCCAGAGTATCAGCTCTTTGCCTTCATTAGTCACATGGGCACCTCTACCATGTGCGGTCACTATGTCTGCCACATCAAGAAGGAAGGAAGGTAAGGGGGCAGCAGCGTGCACTGTGGATGGAGAGGTGTTGGTGAGAATGAAAGGGCAACCTGGAAGTCCCTCGAGTATTTGTGGGAGGAGGCAAAGAAGAAGGTCTCCCTACAGGGATAGGCAAACTATATCCCAGGGGCTGAATCTGGCCACCTGTTTTTGTAAATGAAATTTTACTGGAACATAGTCATAAACTTACTCATGGATTGCATGTGGCAGCAGGAAAGTTGAAGTCAAAACCAGTTACTCAATGAAAATACTGGTCAGTAGCTAGACATGGTGGTGTACACCTCCTTTGGAGGTGAAGACAATTGGACTAGGAGCTCTCATTCTCAGCTACATACTGAGTTTGAGGCCAGCCTGGGCAATGGGAACAGTATGAGTATAATTGTAAAAAATACAGTCTGGGGGCTGGAGAGATGGCTCAGCGGTTATGAACACTGGCTGTTCTTGCAGAAGACCCGGGTTTGAATCCCAGAACCCACATGGCAGCTAACAATTGTCCATAACTCCAGTTTCAGGGGATCCAATGGCCTTTTCTCATCTCCACAGGCATTGCACGACACAGGTGCATTTACATACATGTAGGCAATACACACATACACATAAAATTAAAATATAAAAAATACAATCTAGGCCAGGTGTGGTGATGGACACCTTTAACACCAGCACTTGGGAAGTAAAGGCAGGTGGATCTCTTGGTAAGATTTAGGCCAGCCTGGTCTACATAGTGAGTTCGAGGCCAGCTGGGGCTATAAGGAGACCTTGTCTCAAAAAACAAAAAAAAAAACAAGGAGATCTCCATGAGTTTTAAGGCCACCCTGGTCTACATAAAGAGTTCCAGGCCAGCTGGGGCTACAGGGTGACCCTGTCTCAAAAAGACTGAAAAATAAAAACAAACAAACCAGTCTGGGGCTGGAGAGATGGCTGTGCTCTTATAGAAGAATCACCCATGTCAGGTGATTCATAACTCCCATTCCAGGGGATCTAACACCTGCTACCCATACATATACACATAATTAAAAATGAAGATAAAACAGGGCAGGGTGGCACACACCTTTAATCCCAGCACTTGGGAAGCAGGCAGATCTCTGAGTTCAACGCCAGCCTGGTCTACATAGGCCAAAATAGGAATGACCTTACAAGATTTTGAGCCCTTGAGACTCTAGTTGGACTGTAAATTTGGGGATTGAGGCTTGGAGTGGTGGTTGGGAGCCTTCCCCAGGATCACCTTAGGGGCCAGGCCTGAGAGATGAGCTTGATACAACTTGGAATGGCCTCTTTGTTCATCCTTCTTTGTCCCTTTCCCCACTCCCCAGATGGGTGATCTACAACGACCAGAAAGTGTGTGCCTCTGAAAAGCCACCGAAGGACCTGGGCTACATCTACTTCTACCAGAGAGTAGCCAGTTAAGAGCCTGCCGTCACCTTTTACCACTGAGGGCAGGGGACAGAACACCCGGCATGAGGGACAGGGATTGAGGGATGGACTTCAGCCCCCTGCTCTGTACCCTTTTTCTTTTTGTCCCCAGCAGCAGGAAAGAGCTGGAGGCCATAGGAGAATGGCCAAGCAAAGAGGAGGGGTACACAACAGACTTTGGGGATAGAGCAGGGATGGGGCAGGCAGGGGCCAGCTCTCTGTCCACTAGGAGACCTTGTTGCTTCCCTGCCCCTGCACAGTACTCTGCTTTTCTGTGTAATGCGTGGCCCAGCCCCTGGAATGGGGAGGGGTCTTATCAGTATGTGTGCGTGGGTGTAGCTTGTGCATCCTCTTCCAGGGGAGGGAATGTGTGTGCCTCCCCTCCCCTTACGTGTTTGCTCCCATGTGGTTGGGCTTGGAGGGATATGAGGGAAATGGGGACCTCCCCCTCCCCTTTGCTCTCCTGCCTCAGCCTCCCATTCTGTCTCTTCCCAATCCTCTGGAAAAATGCCAAAATACACGATGTGAATAAAAGTACAATGGCTGAATTCCTCCGGTTAGTTCTTTAGGGGAGACTTAGCTTCCTGGGGTGAAGATGAATGGAGGAGCCAGATTCAGAAACTCCCCACAATGGTCCTTTGCCCTGCCCCCACCCCCTGGCAGTTCTTATTTCTTTAATTCTAGGGTGCCTGGAAAAGGGGTGGGGGAAGTGAATGAAGTGAAATTTGAGAGCACAGAACTGAGACAGGCTTGAAGCCCTTCCTTCCAGAAGTCCCGGAGGAAGGGTCCCAAATGTTGCTCAAGTGCCCCTGGACAGTCCTGGCCTCAGTTCCTGCAGTGTTTCAGGCCTTGGCCAAATGGAGCGAAGGGTGGGATACCAGTTGAGGGTGTTGGCTGCAGACTTGAAGCTACTCAGTGAATGCCAGTGTGGACTAGACCCTTTGTTTACCCACGGCTGGGGCTCAATGTGGAGCAGCTCCTCAGCTGACGCTCTTAGCCCCAGGGACTAAGGCCAAGCTGCTGCCAGCTCCACTAGGAATCCACTCTGGCCTTCTGAAATCGCGAAGTTGGTACCCATGATCGCAGGGCTCAACATCTCATATGTCCAGCAATTGTGGCCGGGTACATAAGCCCCCGTAACGCCCTAGAATAGAACGTTGCAACAAGGGGGAAACGTCAGAATATTGCAGCGCTGGGAGGCGGGGAGGCCTTCAGGCAAGGGGCCGGCCTAACTATGGTGGAGGGCGGGGAGGAGGAGGAGTTCTGCTTCACAGCGCTCTATATAAGCGGCCAGTGGCCACGGCTGCGCGCTGACACTGACCTTCAGCGAGTCGCTCCCTGCGCAATGGCGCCTTCCAGGAAGTTCTTCGTGGGGGGCAACTGGAAGATGAACGGGAGGAAGAAGTGTCTGGGAGACCTCATCTCTACCCTGAATGCAGCCAAGGTGCCGGCTGACACTGGTGAGCCTGGTCTGGGCGGCTGTGGGGGGGAGGGGGTCAGGTGTGGCCGCCCCTGCTCCATGTGCGCGTGGATCTGGATGCAGAGACTCGGGGGACGAGGGCCATCGGGTGTCCAGGCAGGGCTGAGATGTGCTGAGGTAGGAAAGAGGGACATTTGATGGTGCCCTGGGCCTGTAGGGCGGGAAAGGCCTTTTTAGCGGGGGTCTGAGAGTGTAGGAAGAAGATCGCCCCTGGAAATGAACTCGGGCTCCACCAGTTAAGACCGGGGTTAAGAAGCAGATCCTGAGTCCGCTGGGTAATCGAGAGAAACTGGCGCGTGCCCCGGAGTGTGGGGGAGGAGGCCGAGCTTGCGCGGGCTCCCTGCTACCTGCCCCCTCAGCTTGCAGATCCGTGCGTCTCTGCACGTAGCCCATGACTCCTCCCCGCGCCGCAGCAATTCTGGGCCTCTGAGCTGGGGGCTCACAGATCCCTTCCACTCCACGGCCTGGGCCTCTCCTGCCTTCCATTAAGGGATGGAGCAGGTGTCAGACATGCTGAGCCTTTGGGGAATGATGAGCAATCCTACAGCTTTCCTCAGCCTGGAGTGGGAAAGCATGCCGCTCCCTCTTTCCTCTCCCTCTCACCTACATCATAGACCCACCGGGGACGATCCCCTGCTCATTTATTCCTCAAAGAGCTCAATACAAACTCCAGGAGTTGGCCTCGTCTCCTTATGCCAAAAATCCTTGCCCGATTGGAGAAGTGTTATTTTAGAAAGGAGTCAGTTGGCCCCTGGAGAATGCTGAGTCTAGGAGGTGCCCATTCCCAGAATAGCCTGAGGAAATTAGAGCCACAGCTGTTAAAAGAGCAGAGGGAAGGGTGAGGGCCATGGCCTGTCAGGGGCATCATCTATGGGGTTGGTACAGGCCCAGCCTGGACTGGGCAGTAGAAAAGGTCATCTTTCTGGAGTGGAAGGGACAGGAAAGCAGAACCAAGAAAGGGATGGGGGTGGGGGATGAGGGACAGGGGACAGGACTCCAGAGCACTGAGATAGAAAGTCTGAAGAATGCCTTCTTTGCTCTCATTCTCAGAGGTGGTTTGTGCGCCCCCCACCGCCTACATCGACTATGCCAGGCAGAAGCTGGATCCCAAAATTGCTGTGGCTGCCCAGAACTGCTACAAAGTAACTAACGGGGCCTTCACTGGGGAGATCAGGTGAGGTAGAGGCAGAGAGGGGTTTGTAGGAAACCTCCCTCCTTAGAAGGAAGACACCAGGTGGGCTTCTTACTGAACCTTGGTTTTCTCTCTTAGCCCTGGCATGATCAAAGACTGTGGTGCTACGTGGGTAGTCCTGGGGCACTCGGAGAGAAGGCACGTCTTTGGGGAGTCAGATGAGGTTAGTAATCAACCAGGGAGAGATAGGAGATGTTTTTATTCCAATAGGGATGTCTCACCCTGTTTGTTCCTCAACAGTTGATTGGACAGAAAGTGGCCCATGCCCTGGCAGAGGGACTTGGAGTGATTGCCTGCATTGGGGAGAAATTAGATGAAAGGGAAGCTGGAATCACTGAGAAGGTTGTTTTCGAGCAAACCAAGGTTATCGCAGGTATTTCTGGAGAAAGGGACCTTTGAGCCTAGCAAAGGCCATGGAGCATTGGAGTGGGTTGGGGTCAGAAGACCTGCAGTGATCCTTACGCTGAGCCTGGAAAGGAGAGGTCTACTTGCATAGTTCTTGCTATTTCTGCTCCTGCAGAAGGTATAAATGCTATCTTTGAAATCCACAAGGAGCCAGAGAGATGGCTTAGTGGGTAAGGGCACTTGCTGCTAAGCCTGATAGCTTGAGTTTGAGCTCCAGAACCCACATAATAGGAGATTGATTCCACAAGTTGTTCTCTAACCTCCACATGTTTGCCATGGCACATGTGGGCATGCACACACACACACACACACACACACACACACACACACACAATTGTAAAAACTTGAAAAACAGCCACAAGGGGCAGTAGACCACCGCTGTTCTACCTGGGGAGCTTGGCTTGGCAGTTCCTTCCTGTTCACCCTTCCCTCTATGTGATCTCTGTCCTGTAGATAATGTAAAGGACTGGAACAAGGTTGTCCTGGCCTATGAACCTGTATGGGCCATTGGTACTGGAAAGACTGCAACACCCCAGCAGGTAACTGTGCCCAGGAGCCCTGTCCTCATCCTCTCTTGCTTCAATAGATCTGGAAAGCCACAGAGACCATCTGGACCAACCCCTTACTTGATAAAGAGCCCCCAAACTCACAGAGTGATTCACACAAGGATATTCATTCCTGGGCTGACTAGGATTGGAGCCTTGGTATTCTGACTTAGATCCCGGGGCTTTTCTAGAATCCAGCCTCTCGTGTTGGTCCTGGTGTTTTTTTGTTTTGTTTTGTTTTTTTCTCCTCTGAATGTGCAGGAAGTCTCACCAAGTCTGCCACCTTCTTCTAGGCCCAGGAAGTACATGAGAAGCTCCGGGGATGGCTTAAATCCAATGTGTCTGATGCAGTGGCTCAAAGCACCCGCATCATTTATGGAGGTGAGTGGGTTTGGCTCCAGCCTAGGTGGAGGTAGGCTAAGTGGACCGAGCCCTCCTCACACAGGGAAATAGGACTGTAGTGTACTAATTCTATCCCTGACCAAGTTCTTTCTGCTTCTATTCCAGGTTCTGTGACTGGAGCAACCTGCAAAGAGCTGGCAAGCCAGCCCGATGTGGATGGCTTCCTTGTGGGTGGTGCCTCCCTCAAGCCTGAATTTGTGGACATCATCAATGCTAAACAATAAGCACCATCTATCTCCCCCCTGCCCTTCCGCTAAGCCAGGAACTAGGTAGACCAGAAGCCCAGTAACTGCTTCCACCAGTCACATACTTCTGATGTCATCTGCCCCTTCTTGTGGCCTAATCCAAACTCTTCCTTCCTATGCCCGTTTACACCTTCTTGCTGTGATGGTTGGGACCAGGCCGATCCTTTTACCACTTACCATAATGATTAGAACTAAACATGTCACCATGGTGGCTTCTTGCCTGAGAGGTGGAAGAAGCGGATCCTGCACTGTTTCTTCGGGCCCTAGTGAGGGCAGGAGAGTGAAATCACTTTCCTTTCCCCTCTCAGTCTGTGAGGCCAAGATTCTCTGACCCTAAGAGGCCAGGGATGCTCCCCTCTCCCACAGTGCCGAAGCCTGAGTGTTGTGTTCATGAGCCATCCTACTTATAAGGGAAATAAACACCTGGCACTAAACTTTGTGGTTTGTCCTCATTGCGCTTTTCCTTCTACTCTCTGAGATAGTGATAGGATTCTATGGGAGGAGGGGAGTAAAGAAAAACAGATTTCTGTAATAATAATCTCATTACTTTTTACTTGAAAACATCTTTTTTACCAGGCTACCTCAGCCTTTAGTATTCTTCCCCACTCAACCCTCTGGTGAGAATTAGAGAAGGGGCCCAGCCTCACTTCCCCTCAGCCTTACTGGCTTTAGGTAGGTTGTCCACACCAGACCAAAGGCGTCTTCCCACCTGCTCTTAGGGTAGGGGTGGTGGCAAGGGTCAGTACAATCTGTAGTACCACAGGGTTACTGGTAGAGCAGGTAGCGTTTCATGGCTGGGGGCAAAGGCAGAGTGGATATCTGCCCAAGCCGGGTTTCGCCCAGGGCATGGCGTATACACAGGCGACTCAGGTCCAGAAGGGACTGTGGCTTCTCCACTGGGAGAGAGAAGGAAGGGACAGTAAGTAGGGGTGTAGCCACCAGCCAGACTCCTAACTCTAAGGTCCTGCCCAGGCTTCCTTATTTTCTATTCCACCTCAGCTGAGGAAGATCTAAGACTCCCTGAATTTCTGCATCTCAGCAATCAGCCAAAATGACTTGAACGGTGATGGGGCTGGCCCAGAGAGGCCTTGGAACTGGGCTGAAGAGGCGATGGGGGAATGGACCTCCAGGCTACATAACTCACCTCCCCTGCAAACAACTGCAGTTGTAGAGCACTAGCTCCTAGCCCTGGCCTAGTCAGTTCACAAAACGGCTCCTCCCCTTGGGCCCACCCCAAGGCCCTGCCTCCTGGCTTTCCTTCCTGGTGCCCAGGGTCCCAATGGCTCCATCTTGAAGTTTGACTGGGAAGGAAGCTATGTGGCACACACAGGTAAGAGCCCATGGAATCTGGTACACACCCTGTGTGCCTGGCACTGCCAGCCTTTTAAAAAACTGCACACCTAGCTCAGTACCTATTTAACCCTTTTCTCTCCTGCTCAACGGCAAAATCCTGGAGTGCTGTCAATTCTGAGGGCTTGCCACTTGCCAAAAGAATTTGAATAGACTGCTTTTCTAATCCTCAATTTAACCTCCATTGCTTCTGGGATCCTGGCCTTGAACTGGGACATGGGGCAAGTCAAACAGAGCCCCCTCCTGTCTGACCTTCCATCCCAAACCATTGCTAAAAGTGATAATGATCTCCCCACACGTGGTCCAAGCCTCACCTCTTTCGCCCAGGTAGCGGATGCGAACCTGGCATTGGCCCCAGACGGCGCTTACAGAGGGATAGAGGGTCTTGCCTTTCAGTCCGCGGAAGGCTGGTCCCAGGTAGGTGCCCCCAATAGCGTAGCCCAGAGTCCCCTCTTCCATGTTGAGAACCACCAACAGCCTCTCTGGCACCACTAGCTGCTCACCCTGGTGTCCGGCTGGATACTGAGGGGCTTCAGGTCCCTTACTCTGATGATACAATTTCCTCCGCCCAATGTCCCAGCCCCACGATTCCTTGTTGCTGCCCAACAGCGCCGCATAGTGGTCCGCCTGCAGCGGGGCAAGGGCGGTAGCCACGCCCACCACCGCGTGTGTGCCCCTCTGATCCTGGGGCCAACTGATCTCCCAAGCGTGCAGGCCCCTCGAGTAACCCCTCTTTCCCCGGACTCCATCAGTGCTCTGAGCCACTGGCCTCCGCTCAAAGCACAACCCGCCTTCCTTGACCTCGATGTTCTCTGAGCAATCTTTGGGATTCCAGCCGTGGTGACGTTGGACCCCTAAATCAGGAGTTGGAGCAGACAGTAGCTCCTCCAAACCCTCAGGAGGAGAGAAATCAGAGCACAGAGCCTGCGAGGTGGGGGTGCTGCTGCTGCTGCCCCTTGCCAGAGCCGTCTGGCCCATGAGGTGAGCAGCTAGCTGGAGGGCTCCCCGAAAGTCTTGCTGGGGCGTCTCCTGAAAGTTGAGCTCCAGATCTTCACCTGGAACTATGTAGGGGTCAGAAAAGACTGTGAACGGCGGTATCCTAGTGTTGGGGGGGGGTGTTTTTACCCAGGGATCCCATCCGTTCACCCATGTATGCCAACCGGGCCCCCCACCCACTTTCCTCCCCCAACCCTCCTAGGTCTATCACCCTGATTCACCCCATCTGCACCGGGTTGCCCGAGCTTCCCATGAGTTCGGCCCCTTCGGACCTCACCATGGGCTGCCCCCCTTGCCCTCATCTCGCCTCCGAACCTCGCTTGGCTCTCCTATCCAGGAAGGACCTCAGTAGAAGCGCAGACGAAGGCAGTCAAGGCGCGCTCCAGACCACGGACAGCTTCCGGTTCCAGCGGCCTGGAGGGGAGGACCGCCCGGGAAGATGCCCGCCCCCTACCTCTGTGGGGTGGTTAACCCTCTTGTCACCTCCCAGGCTACGTCCTCCAGGCCACGCCCCCGTGGAAAGCTCCCCAGCTGCAAAGACTCAGTGCGAGGTCCTAGTGGCCTGGGTGGGGCCCCACTCTGGGTGGATAACCTCTGCTCACTCTCCCACCAGTCCGCGATCAGCCCTGAGATGGCACCTCCGCAGTGGGACTTTCCATAAGCAGTTAATCTTCCCCAGGCTACCATTACAGTTGAGTTTCCTGCCCTCCCACATCCCGGTTCAGAATTAACCCTTTGATGACATCGTCGCCGTGGGAATCCCTGTGGGAAGGGGGTTCTTCACTGGAGAACTTTGTGCTACCTAGGCTACCGGAGGCTCTGTGTGTAAGAGGGATTGTCTTCCTTTCTGAACTGTTGTTCCATTCCTTAGGGTGTAGGGCCTATGACTCTTTTCCTCTCCCCCTCTCCAGTCTCCCTGTGTTGCTGGGGTTGTAGCCTGCTTCAGCCTCTTGAGTACTGGGCTAGCTAGTGGGCACCACCCTCCATGGACTTCAAGGGTTGATTTTAAGTGAAGTGATTTTAAGCTAAGTGAAGCCAAGTCACTTAGCTGTGTGATCTTGGGGAAGTTGCCAAACTTTTTCTGTTATGTAAAGTGGGAATAATAATGGTATTGTGTGACTCTTCTACCTCTGCTCACCCCAGTCAGAACACTGACAACAGACCAAACAAACTATTCTAGGGCTGGCAGCATACCTCAGTGAGTAAAGGACTTTGCCTTCAAGTCTGGTGACCTGATTTGGTCTCTGCAACCCACATGGTGGAAAAAAGAACTGACTCCTTCTAGTCTCTACAGATGTAAATAAATAAATAAATAAATGTAATAAAAGTGGGGTTTTTTGGTCTTTTTGAGACGGTCTTCCTTATAGCCCCACCTGGCCTGGAACTCACTACATAGACCGGGCTGGCCTTGAGCTCACAGAGATCTGCCTGCTTCTGACTCCCGAGTGTTGGGACTAAAGGCGTGCGCCACCATACCTAGCTATTATTATTTTTCTTTTATTTTATGTGTATGAGTGTATTGCCAGCATGTGTTAGTGCACCCATGTTGTGCAATGCCCATGGAGGTCAGAAGAAGGCATCAGATCACATGGAAATAGAGTTCGGATGGTTGTTAGCTGCCATGTGGGTACTGGGAACTGAACCTAGGTCCTCTGCAAGAGCAGCCAGTTCTCCTAACAGCTGAGTCATCTCTCCAGCCCCTGGTGAGAAGTTATTTACAGGAGCATGGATAGCTCCAAAGTAGCTCCATCACTGAAAAGTTGGCTCCACCTGCATCCCTGGAGCACTCTGTGTGATTGGAGGCCACTACATGGGTCTAAGAGTCTCTTCTATCCAACAGCCCTTACTGCTAACATTGGGGAGGGAGGGACCTTGTGCATCTTGTAAGTTTTGGGAACTTCTGGCAACTTGGGTGTTTCATCTTGAGTCCTAATAAGCTTCCCTCCCTCCAAGGATAGAAATGTTTGAATTTGGAGGATATTGCTACATAGCAGATGGTACTCCTGTCCCCGGGTTGTAGTTTTGATATAATTCAGATAAAGTGTTATGATTACTGTTGTTAATTTGATAGACTCTAGAATCACCTGGGAGACTGGCCTCTCTGTGCTTGTTGGGGTTATCTAGTTTTAACTGAGTGGAGAAGACCCATCCATTGTGGGTGGTGATATTCACTGGCTGGGATCCTGGATTGTGTAACTAGAGAAAGGTAACTAGCTGCTTTCTTCTGACTGTGGGCAGATGTGATATGACCAGCTAATTCAATTTCCTGCTGCCTTGACATACCCATCATGATGGACTCTACCTTGAAGTGGGAGCCAAAATAAACCCTGTCTCCCTTCTGTTGCTTTTGTCTGAGCATTTTTATCATAACAAGAAACTAAGAGAGTACATAAGGTGACAAATCCCTGGCAAATCCCTTAGGTACTCCAGTTATTAAGTGCAGCATAAATTGGCTGGCCTGGAACTCGCTATGCAGACAAGGCTAGCCTCAAACTCACAGAGATCCACCTGCCTCTGCCTCCCAAGTGCTGGGATTAAAGGTATGTACCACCAGGCTTGACTCAGAATAAAATTTTATATTTTATTTTATTTATTATTATTATTATTTTGTCTTTTTGAGACAGGGTCTCCCTGTAGCCCCAGTTGGCCTGGAACTCACTATGTAGACCATGCTGGCCTTGAACTCCCACTTGCCTCTGGCTCCCGAGTGCTGGGACTAAAGGCATGTGCCACCAGGCCTGGTTTATATTTTATTTCTTAAAGATATTATTTTATGTGTATGAGTGTATTGCCTGCATGTTAATTCAGTGTTCCTGTGTTGTGCAGTGTCCATGGAGGTCAGAAGAGGGCATTGGACCCTCTGGAACTGGAGTTACAGAGAGTTGTTAACCACCATGTAGGTACTGAGACTCAAACCCAGGTCCTCTGGAAGAACAGCCAGTGCTCTTAATCGTTGAGCCATCTTTTCAGCCCCAAATTTTATATTTTAGAGGGAAATAAGAAATCATACTGAAAAGAAAGATGTGACCCTGAATACTTGTATCCACCCAACTTGGCTGTTCTTTTCAGTGTGTGGCAACAAGGTCATGATTGTATCTAACAGCCTATAATGAATATTAATTCAGGGCTTCTGTGATAACTGAATGAAGTCTTGGGGACAGGATAAATCTAAGCCATGGCTGGCTATAGCTCAGTTTGAGACATTACCTGTACAACCTCAGCTGCTACTGGTTATTTAAACTGTTCACCTCTCATTGTTATTGAATCTTGAGCTTCTGAAACATCTATTGATAATAGTTCAAATACTCCATAATGCTACAATTAATTTTGTTATTGTTTGGTTGGTTTTGAAATTATCTCATATAGCCCAGCCTAGCCTCAAACTGGCTATGTAGCCAAGTGCTGAGTACTGAGATTAAAAGCCAGTGCCACCACACCTAGCTTTGTTTTTGTGTTTTTGAGACAAGGTCTTACTCTGCAACGGAGGCTGATCTTGAACAGAAGCAATTCTCCTGCCCTCAGCCTCCCAAGTGCTAGGATTACAGGCACGAGCCAGCTTTTCGTTTTGTTTTGGGAATAAGGATTTGTAGCTCAGAAGAACTATATTGCCAGTGGGCATGGCAGTGGGGGAACAAAGCATTCAAGGCTTCTAGTTGGGAAATAGAAATATAGTTGAGTATTTTCCCCTGGAAGATACTGACCTCATCATGGGTTCCCAGCATCCATATGGCAGCTAACAACCATTCATAACTCTAATTCCAGGGGATCCAACACTGTTTTCTGGTCCGTGGGCATTGTACACATGTGGTGCACTTACATACATACAGGCAAAACACTTCTACATAGAATAAATAATAAAGTACATTTATTTAACAAATAATTTGTGCATGAGAGTAAATTAAATTATTTAGTAATAATAATTTATGCATGAGTGTTTTCCCTATATGTATATATGTGCACCATGTGTATGTCTTGTGCCCAAGGATACCAGAAGAGGGCATCAGATCCTTGGGAACTGCAACTACAGGCAGGTTGTGAGCTGCCTGATGTGGGTGCTGGGAACCTAACCTCTGCAAGAGTGGCAAATGCTCTTAACCACTGAGCCATTGCTTCAGTCCAGAGACAGAAATTTTCGTTTTATTTTGTTTGGTGTTGGGGACTGAACATAGAGCCTTCTACTCATTACTACTGAGTTACATGCCCAGTCTGAGTCAAAGAGTGCCCTCTTGACTTTTTATTTAGACATGTATTGCTACTCGGGCAATTTCTGGCTCATGTCTTCCAAAAATAATTTAGAGGGCTTTCAATTTTGATTTGTTTGGAGCTTATATTAATTATATTATTTATTATATGCGTAGGTGTGTGTATATATCACATCATGTGGTGGGGGCAGGGGTCAGAGGACAACTTTTGGAAGTCAGTTCTCTCCTTCCAGCATGTGGGTACCAGGGTTAAACTCAGGCTTGGTGGCAAGTGCTTTTACCAGACTGAGCCATCTTGTCAGCCAGTGTTTGGGTTCTCTTTTTCTTTCTTTCTCTTTCTTTCTTTCTTTCTTTCTTTCTTTCCTTCCTTCCTTCCTTCTTTCTTCTTTCTTTCTTTCCTTTCTTTTCTCTCTCTCTCTCTCTCTCTCTCTCTCTCTCTCTCTCTCTCTCTCTCTCTCTCTCTCTCTCTCTCTCTCTCTCTCTCTCTCTCTCTCTCTCTCTCTCTCTCTCTCTGTCTCTCTCTCTCTCTTTCTCTCCTCTCTCTCTTTCGACACAAGGCCTCACTATGTAGCTCTGGCTGGCCATATGTAGACCAGGCTGGCCTCGAACTCACAGAGTTCTGCCTGCTTCTGCCTCCTCAGTGCTGGGATTAAAAGGAGTGGGCCACCATGCCCAAGTACCATATTTATATATGAAATGAAAATATGTGCATATACTCAGTGAAACATTAATACCCCTTGGTTTTTGTTGTTGTTGTTTTGGGTTTGTTTGTTTTTTAATCTTTTTGAGACAGGGTCTCCTTGTAGCCCCAGCTGGCCTGGAACTCACTATGTAGACCAGGCTGGCCTTGATCTCATAGAAATCTACTTTCCTCTCCCTCCTGAGTGTTGGGATTAAAGGCATGCATCACCACACCCTGCACCCCCTTGTTTTTTAAACTAATTTTTCTTCCAGATTGGGAAGATTGTAGTTTCTTTGCTTAGGTGAAAATTGAAATGGTTGGACTGCCTTCTGATGGGTCATGTTGGGTGGAAACAAAGTACCTTAATGCATTAGAACCTAACTTAAAAAACCAAAGGCTAGAGACATTCTAGCCTCCCAGAATACACAGAGAAGCTCAGCACTGGGGAAGTAGAACTCAGAGCGGTCTCCATCTTACTTGCAAGCTGGCCACGTTCTGTCCTATTTAACCTGGTCATTGTTGAGTTCATGTTCGCTGTGTTTGTGCTGAAACGCGACTGGATCTCTTTTTATCCTCACAACAAATTATTCCAGTTTTTACAGATTCGTACACAGGGTTTAGATTAGTATAACTTCATCCTGGCTCAAGGACTAAAGAGCAGGTAAAATGGTCGATGACTAAACCTGCAAAGCCTCACTTTCCAAATTCACCAGTGAGGAGGGAAATGGCAACTGGGATGAGGTAGATAAACCTGGATTACTGGCAGTAGGGCACCTCGGCCCCTCCTCCGGCCCCGCCCCCGCCCTGGTCCAAGTTCCGTAACCATGGCAACGCTCCCGGCAGGGTGGGGGTGGGGAAGCTGACTCACGAAGGGCTGGTGGTCACGTGAGTGGTTCTTGTGCAGCCTGAGGGTGTAGGGCGCCCCTTAGCG